CATGAGCTGCAACTATATAAAAAAGTTTTCCGCAGATGTTCTAAACCACTAATGGTAACATAAAAGTGGTTAATTGTTTTATGCAACCATTAGTGTGAACAAAATCAGGACTAAACCTAACAGTCATCAATTATTCATGACAAATTGTCCTTGTTTATAACAAGGAGTAGATAAGGAAATAAAAATTTGAGGTTGGTGTCATTCTACTTTTGCCCAAAAAATAATATTCAGGCAGCAAAGCTTCACATGTTTCTCTGAACTTACCTTTACAAATACTTCTTTACACTTCACAGGAGATGCTCCACATAAAAGCTTCTTTTCAGACAGCTGATTTAAGTTTCCCAGATTGTCGCTATAGACTTGGTTATAATGAGACCTTATGGAGAAAATATGCTTTATGCATGCATAGATTCTGGTTTCTAGTTGTATGAACGAAAAAGATTATAATGAATTGAATCTAGTAAAGCATGCAACTACAAGTTCATACCCTTACTATTGGATGATTATAGCATCTCTACATTTACACTTTATTCTATATCAAGCAACAAATGTAAATCATACAACATTAATGCATTGATAAAATAAAATAAAAATGATGAAATGGTTAAGAAGCACATCTGCTTAGATGTTGAAGGAGATTTCCAGTCAAAAATTGGATGGCTATCACGACCACCTCCTTCCTCTGAAAGAGAAAAACTCGCAGAAGGGAACGAAGTAGATGAATTGTAATCAAAATCTTTCTTTGAACCCTTAGCATCCCACAACTGATCAAATGTATAAGTATTTGGTTGAACTTCCAATAGTGGAGAAAATATCTCCATGTCATCCTTGAAGTTATATCGACGAGGTGCAAGCAATCTTCCCAGTGATCCACTTGTCAGTAAGCTGCTCCAAAGAGGTGTTTCTGCTGCAGCAGATAAACTAAGTGCATGGTGCAGACACAAAACTACCAACTAAAAAAGAAAATATTCTATGCTGAATAAGAAGTGCAGCGAGTTCGGAGTCCCATCTAAAAATCTGAACCTCTTCGACATTAACCAGATGAACCCCGTTCTCACCACTTCCAACTAAAAGGGTAGGGACAACCTCCAAATTAGCTCAATGAATCCCCATGCCACCCCCAGGCCCTCTTCTTCAAGGAAATTGCAAATCCCTCTTTGCACAATGACCTTAAACATGGTAAATGACCTCAAACTGAGTATCAGTTAGTCTAGACCACCTCTAGAATTCAAAAAGTTAAAAAAGATCCATAACTAGTTGAGTGCACCAAATACAACAGAGCCCAACCAATCATAATATACTGTTTAAAATTTATTGTAATTAACTAGTAAAGCCCCATTTGCCACAACAATCAGAGATGAGAGAACTCACTGTTCCTTATCAAGACATAAATGGTTATTAAGCATAAAGAAGTTACAAATTAACTTCTTTGTGAAACAATCAATCTAAATTATATAATTCATATATGACTTCTACTAGTTTCACCAACTCATATTGCTAATCACTTTTCCGATAATCAATCCTGAGAGCCAAGTTTGTAAGAATGTGTCCAAATTTAATTCAGGAAATGTTATAAATCACAAACATGTGCATACAGGCTACAAACAAGAAGAATTATGCATTAGCAATTTGAGATTTCGAGAAACTAATGCCATACATATTAACTGTACTAAGATCAGTAAACCTGGCATGATAATTATGAAAAAAGATTTTCCAATAACAAAAAATTACAAGTGAAAGATTATCCGACACACAAAAAGTGGAAAAAGAAAAAAGACATAAGAATCTCACCACTGGCTGTACACCTGACTTCAAACCCTTTCCGAATTACAAAATTGAGATGACAAAATCAAAGAAAAGAGTTAGGTAAACTAATTGTGAAAATTACAATTCAAGATTCTGAATAATTTTTACAAAGAATAAGCTTAAATAAGAGATGAAGCGCTGCATTTGTTTGATTATTTGTTTAGAAGTACAAAACCCATCCAATTGGAGCTGTTTTTGGATCAATTGGTGCAATTGTTATGCTACCCATGGTCGTA